TCCCTAATGGTGAGTGAGACAGTATCTTTTGAGTTTTGCATTGCAATGTCCTGTGAGTCTGTGAATAAAAAACATGTCATGGATTTATGACCGAAATTGAATTATTTAATAAGTTGGTAGATTAAACTGTGAACAATCCAGAAAATGAGGACTAGAAAACAAAAACAATAAAGTATGACTCTACGTCTCCACCTATAATGAATAAGCAGCTTTCGACTCACTTAATAGCATCACCAATATATCATTTCTTTCTATCTTTTCGTTTCTTTTTGGTAATGATTCCTCTGGCATTACGACCTTTACCACAATGATGCTGCCGATAGATCAAATTATTTCGTTAGAGTTCAATCTTGTTAGCAGTCTACCTGTTGTGGGCTCAATTGGACACCTTAATAGCATCAGTAAAGACAGTATGTTAGATGTTCCTTGGAGTAATAATGGAGGAAGATGGAAAGATGACTGGCTTGGCAAATGGTTTCTACGGTTCATCAAGGCCTTGTTACGGTCTTAAGAAGGCTCAACACGATTACTGGAGAACAACGAAACCAGTTCATGAAGGAAACTCAGGTGAATATCTTTTGATTTTTCATTTCTGCAAGTTTTATATCTCTATGCAGGAAACAAACAATGCGCTTTGTTCCAGTTACAATGAAATGATAAGAGCTATAACGAAACTAAAACACTTTACTTGCTCTGTTTCGTTCAGTAAATTGAAATTCTTGTGTTGATATACATATATTTGCAGGGAAGCAACTGATGCAGAAAATTGCAGAATTGGTTCTCAAACATCCGGAAAGAGTGAAGAAGCAGGATTCTCAGAAAGCAAAGAAGCAAGAACCTCAGGCGTATACTTCAAAAGTTAACGAGCTCGAATTGATCTCTACCGCTATTTTGTAGGCTGCATTTGTTGGTTCACATAAAGAAATTTGTTGGCTTTACAGTGCAGAGGGTATATTGGCTAACGACTTCTTTAGAAAATCAAATGTGATGTCAAAATCAAATCTGAAGCTTCTTAACTCCCTATCATATGATGTAATGTGATGTTCTTTAGTGGAATGTAAATACTACATAGTAAATTGTCAATTTCCTCTTCTTGTTTATGGAATTTCTCGTGTGAAACCGATTTGTAAAAAAGTTTCATATAATTCAATAATTAAAACCGAGTTTTTTTTGTCTTATCAATCTCTAAATATGTTTTAAAAACAAAAAATAAAGCCATGATCATTCATTTAAT